GGCGGTGGCCCTGGCAGCGCCCTGAGTGCACCCAGCTCCTCGGTGCACGGGCACCGGTTTCAGAGGTGCTGAGCACCTGCGTTTCCTCCTGACCTTGAAGGAGGAACTGCCTGGCCCGCCACGTTTATGGTCACATCGTAACAGCCGGGTAAGGGTAGAAAACCTTAAATTGTTTCCTTCTGAATACTCAACTTCAGGTTAACCACGTGTATTTTTTTTTTTTTTTTATAATTAAGTCCATAGAATTGATAAGCATATCCCATGCTGAATGTTTCTGTGTGTTCTCTTCTTAACATTTGGATTCCTTCTCATCTCACGTCTTTATTTCTTCCTTTCTTTATCTAAAAAAGTTACAGGTGGGTAACGCTGCTTACATAGACAGGCCCCAAGCCTGCCCAGAATCCATCTGCTGGCACAGTAATGGGAAGCAGCTAAACTACTGGGGCTTTTCCCAAGGGACAAGGCCAGTAAGGAACACAATTTTTTCACTGTAGTTCAAAACAAGTCCCAGTGTACACGTAGTTACATGGGCAAAAGGAATACTTTGTCTTTTCGAAGCAATTAAGAAATCCTTAGATGTAGTAGTAGTGATTTGGTTGTTTTGGGATTTTTTTTTACATTTTTGGGGCGAGTTTATGTTGTTGGTTTTTTTTTTCTGCATAAGCTGTTGTGATTACTGTGGAGCAGAGAAGGATTTGCTGAGCTTAATGCATTAACAAAACCTCTGTGACTGAGGCAATGATAGTCTCCAAGTCATCCATTTTTACTGTTGCACCAAGAGCAAAGGGTGCTGTATTTCCCCAAAAGCACTAGGAAGCGTGCTTTAAAGAAGAGAGCTCCCATCAGGTTTAGCATGTCCTTAGAGTAATCTTTTGGTTTCTTGGCCAACAGGTGGACTTGACCCAGATTTGAAAGCTGCCTACAGCTCTTTCATGAAGTCGTGTGAGAAAGGTGGGAAGAAGTCAGTAAATGCGTGTCACAACGTCGGGCTGCTGGCTCATGATGGGAGAGTACATGACGATAAACCTGACCCTGTTGTTGCTAGAGACTATTACACAAAAGCCTGTGATGGCAATTTTGCTCCTAGCTGCTTCAACCTCAGTGTAATATACCTCCAAGGAGCCCCTGGGGTCCCTAAGGACATGAACCATGCTCTGAAGTACTCACTGAAAGGGTGTGAGCTGGGTCACGTGTGGGCTTGTGCCAATGCCAGCCGAATGTACAAACTGGGAGATGGCGTTGAGAAGAATGATGCTAAGGCAGAGGAACTGAAAAACAGGGCAAAACAGTTGCATAAAGAACAGAGAGAAGCCCCAAGTTCTTTAAAGTTTGGGGAGTAAAACTGTCAGTTGCAGTTAAGACTGTAGTTTGAAATGGCAAGTGAACTTGTTATTTAAATAGGGAGTGTAGACTTTCCAGTCGTAATAAATATCCTTTAATATTTTCATATGCAAATAAACATATTCTTGTGGCTGCAACAAACATGACCAACTCTGCTGTGCCTTTCTACCTTTTTAAATACACAAATTCTTTGGAGTATTGCTCACATCCCCCCTCTTCTTTAAGGAAGACAAAACCATCTGTCCTTTTGGAAGTTTGTCCCTGGGGTTTCAAATATGAAATTGATCCATAACATCCTTCTGGTTCTTTTTTTTTCCTCCCCTGCAAATGTTTATAATCAGGATCTGTAATTCTGTACTGGGCTCAGGCTGGACACTCCACTGTCAGGTAAAGGTTTCCTGTTGCCTGGAGTATCTGTAAGACTGCTTCCAGCCTTAAGAAAAGGAGATATTTCTCCCTGTGGAAACACAACTTTATTTCATCCTTGTAATACCAGGACTTGCAGCAGTGCCAAATTCAGAGAGGCACTGGAGCTGCATGTGCACATCCCTCTTTGCTGCTTCAGATAGAGTGTCTAATGAAAGACACAAGCAGTAAAATTTAACTGTCTTTCTTTGGGAAATATTTGCACTGCTCCTAAGAAGTTACTATTTTCCAAATGTCAATCTCTCACTCTGTTTCATTTTTCTTTCCCAAATTCCCAGACCAAGGGAAGCTCTCCACAGATAAGCAGACCACCAAATCTTCAGTATCATGTTTTGAATATGAAAGGGAGAAAATCTCTCCAAAACCTAAATATTTTCCCCCTCTAAAGACCAGAGGCATTTTGGGGGAAAATAGGCAAAAATATTCTCCTCAGGCTGAATGCTGTATGCAGTTTCAGCTTAACACACAGCTTTATAGCAGATTTAGAAAATAATCAAAATGGGGGGATTTCTGGGAATACTGGAAGATCTTTACTATGACTGCAGAGCAGGTCCTGACACACTAGAATACTCTTTTTGTCTTAATTATCAAAAGTAAGCTATAGGGAACAAAAATCCTTTGTTTGACAGAAAAGCAATTGCTGTTTGTTGTAAAATGTAGAATATAATCCAGAAGACCTAAGGGTTTACTTTCCAGTAAGGACAGAAAAAGGTGTGTACCCCACTGTGAGCTCACGATAAGGGTGTTGCAGGTAAAAAGTTGGTAATTGGTCCGTGAATAAAGTAGAGGAGATAAAGAGACTGATACTTAGTGTAGCAACACAAAACATTTTTTCTAGCTGCTAGTATTTAAAGGAGGTGTTGGTGGGAGGGAGGGGACCTAATCCTACTCATTGAATTTGCAAATGTGTAAACCTTGGAAGAGGATTTCTTGCATTAAGCTTCAATGCATGTACTTTAGATTGTTACTGACCAATGTAAAGTTTAATAAGGGATGTTCCAGTTTTAAAGAGCAGACAGGAATGAAGAATTACATGAGGGCCTGAAAGGCCCTTGTGCTGTGCACATCAGGAGCAGATGTCACACTCATACACCACTGCCTCCAGCATGCTGACACCAGCACTGCTTGACGTTCACCAGGTTAACTCATTAACATTCAAAGGAACTTTATAAAAAAGGAATTACTTGGAAAACACGCCTTTAGTCAGAGTTAAATAAAAAACACAAAGTTATTTTATCTGTTTCAAATATGCTATTCATTTATATGTAGTTCCACTTGAAGAAGCAGAAACACTACTTTGATGATCACAGCCATGAGAAAGAAGCTTTAATGTTACAGTTCCAATGTCAATAAGTTAAAACCAATTCTCCTCTCTGGAGGTTTGCTTATTCAAAATCTATCAAGTGTGATGGGATTTCTCTGTCAGAAGAGATTTTCTGTATGCTGTCACACCACAGTTGCCTGTATCCTTAATGGCCAAAGTCCTCTAGCTTGGGGTTTTTTGGGGGTGATTGTATTTTTTGGTTGTGGTATTTTGGGGGTGTTTTTTTTGTTTGTTTCTTTGTTTTTTCCCCCCCTTTAAAGTCAAAGCAGAGTTCTACTTTTACTGTTTGAAAGGTGAGGAAAACTATGCCAAAGTTCTTCCAGGCAGCTTGGAGAGCATCAGCTGACAGGAATGATTTTCCAAATGGAGGAAAGAAGGAAGAGAACCACTATTCCTGTGAGATTCCAGGTTTCACTCATTTTACATCCAGTGTGGCTGACAGCCATTTGAATGCAACAAAAGAAAGAAGTTACTAGTACACACAGGGACGTAATTTTTCTGAAGGTAAGAAATCAACAGTTAGAAGCACCAAGATTCTTTTCCATGCCTATCTAATAATATACTACCTTATATGCTGCCTACATTTTGGGTAGCTGATGATTGATCCCCTCTGCAGGCAATCAAAGCTGTCTTTGAGGCACACTGGCCATTTCGTGTTTAATCACTGATTGTGACATGCTTTGACTCCTGAGATGAATAATAATAATAGGAGAACTAGTAATAGTTCTCCTTTACATAGTTCCTTTAGTATTGTTGCTACTTTTCTGTATCTTCACAGAAACTTCAGTTCAGCTTTATATAATTAATATGTTTGAGAAAGGCAGAAATCTGAAAGCAAGTAGTCTTTGATACCTTCACCTACAAAAAAGATATTTTCAATTTTGGGATACAAAACTGAAATAGTTTCACTCAGCCTTCCCTTAGTATGTTGATCATGTAGGGCAAAAGTATTTTTCCACCTCTGGAAGTAGTATTATTTCATAAATCATGTGATACATCTGGAATGTCCATGAAAATCTTAATATCATTCATAGTATTTTAAAAATCTCAACTACACAGGAATAAAAGTATTGAATAACATTGGATAATACACCACAGATGCTCACAGTATACAACATTTTCCTCTCTTTCAGTTCACAGAATGTCAGGGGTTAGAAGTGATCTCTGGAGATGGAGTCCAACCCCCAGTTATACCTGTAGATGATTTAATCTTTTTTGTCACTGGCTTTTTCCTGCAAAGTTTAGCTCTTATGAGTTTAACTCTTACAAGCTGTTGCAGAAACCTATTTTTCTCCCATAAAGGTAGCACACAGGCACAAACACTCCGAGGTTTCTCACATTATACCTCAGCTCTGACAGGGGTTTCCACTCCACTTTAACAGCCTTAAACGAAGACTATTCCAGAGGCTAGGAGGTGAAATGGGTTTTTAGACAGGTATCCATGTCAAACCATCCTGTGAGAATCAATCTTCTTTCATCCACGTGGAAGCTACCAAGCAAATATTACATGTATGGCCATTTCAATCACTGCGTGGCAATAACCTCCTTCCTTCTTTTTCCAGTCTAACCCAAAAGAAATCATAGCCTGGGAATAGAAATACATTCTCCTGAAAAGATTACAGAGAAAGGCTTCAAATTGTATTTGAAGTATATGTAAAATTGTCCTGCAAATTATATGCATTTGAATGACTGCCATCCTTTTCAAAAAGAAGCAATGTCTCTGAATGAAGTCAGCAAGTGGTGCATTCATTTAATTAAGGAATGTTTTACATAACTTCAAAAATATCTGCATCTTACAGAATCAGGCCAAAAAAAGAAAGGCCACATTCTGATGTGTTGATTTATATCAACACATTCTGCATTCAAGCTCAAAAAACACCATGAAGTGACAACATTCAAACACAGACTGCTATTACTGTAAAAGGAGTTCATTTCCAGCTTTTTTATATTGCTCACCTAGATCAATGGGACAACCCAAGTTACTCATCTGGCCTTCTCCTGGAAGACAATAAAATATGTACATTTGCAAAGTGCAGGAAACTTCTAAGCCTTCTTTTCCACCATTGTAACATGCTTCTTTTTATATTTCTGCAACCAGAACAGTTAACATAGTTAACTCTTCTGTTAACCATTGCACAATTTTTTCAGCATCGTTCCTGTTTTTGAGAATAATGCTCTTAGTTAAGCATTAAGAAACATTTCAGTGATTGGTGATTTGAATTTCCATGAATGCTAGTGTTTCAGATAGTTTTATAAACATTAAATAAATGATGCAATACCATTGACCTGCAAAGTAGCACACAGTAAGTTTTATCTCACTTCCAGAAAGATCAACAGGCACAGAGAAGGCAACTTATCAAAGGGCATATGTCTAGCTTTGGCTCTGCTTGAGAGCACAACTCTCCCAAATCCTGCTGGTACTCAGACACTATCTTCTTCCAATTATTACTTGAAGTATTTATTTTAAAAAAAAAAAAAATCTCCCTTTTTTTTAGTGTGGGACTTATTGAACTGGCAGTTTAAAATCATGAAGATTTCAGGCTGAGCTACAAAGAGATCACCAGCTGCCTGAAAGCTCCTGTGGTTAGGACTCACCTGTCACATTAATGGAAATAAAAGGTTTTTATTTAAAGGCCAAAGAGTTTGCAATCCGATGTTTTGCATATTTCTCTCCACTGTTCCAAACACATATTCCACCCTCAATTGCATTAGAATTTTAATTTTCTTAGTTGTTTTAACTCCCCCTTTTTTTTGCCCCCTTTACACAGTCTAGTCAAACAGAGCTGCCCATCACAGTAGGCTTCACAATCACAATCCATCCTTGGACTGTACAACACAACAAACACAACACATTGTTATGGTCTTAGCAGAGTACTTAGGGGTGAAAAAATTATCAACTTATTATTAGTGCATCGAACAAGAAATCTATTGGAAATTAGCAAATCATTAAAGAATATGCTCCTTCAAAACCAGTATTATCTACCATTCTCATGCTATTTTATAGTATCATGTAGTTAAGGATAAGAAAAAACACAGCTGTTATTAAAATGCCTTATCTAGGAAAACTTGTAAAGTTGCTGCTTTGTTTCTGGAATAACACAGTGGTACCACAAGTTTATGAGCACAAACCAGCCAGGTACTTGATTTTTTGCATTTGTGTAGCAATGTAATATTTCAAAAGAAACTGAATTTAAGTAGATGTATTAGAAGTTATTCTTGATTATATTCTTGAAGAATAGACATATTGTA